ATGAATATAAATATATACATGTAAATACATGTAGATATTTTCAAAATATATACCTTATGTGTGTGTATTGAAATATAGATAATAAATATACACAGTACACACACACCTATATTATGTAAACAAAAACTTTTATTTTGAAATGCGATTAATCGCGATTAATCGCTTGACAGCACTATGGACAAAGTTAGAATTTGATACCATTTTGTGAAGAAAAAACAAAAAAAAATAAACTAAAACTAAGATCTATTGTGTAAGTGAATTTAGTACAGAATAATGTATAGTATGAAAATATACATTTTTTATTTTATAAACATTTAAGTGTTAGCCTATTAAATTAGTATTTTCAAAAGATTAACTTATCAGGAATGGAAATGAGGAAAATGAGCATGAACAATTAAATAATAAACTAATTCATTTAAATAAATGTGTTTATGTAAATGTATTTTTTATATTTAATGTCTGTATTCATGTAAATGTATTATGTATTGCTTAATTTATGTAAATTTAAGTATAAAATAAATAATAAAAAATAAAATAAAATAAAAGGCCAGAAAACTGCTATGGTACTAGCATGATCATCTTAAAAGTAGCAATATATGAGTACATATAAATGTGCTACTGAAATTATGGATTTTGATCTAAACGTCACCACAATCTGTATACAAGCGGAGCTCCAGTGAATCCATCAAATGCAGCAGTCAAGAGATTAAAGAAACAATGTAACCTAAACAGTGTGCGTTAAATTTCATGTTGTCAAACTGTCGTCCCTTCTGCTTTACGAGGCATCGCTGGGGGCCTGGCGAGCACCCAAGACACAGCTAAGCCAGCCTGAACGCCTCGCCATACGAGGACATACGCTGAGTCTCATGTAGTTACAAAAGACATTTATCACTCATAAGGGCTCTAAACTCTAAACACACGGCAGGCCTGCGCCTCAGCCGTTCAGGCAGAACCACATGCTTGGAGCTGCATGGAAAGAACATCATCTGCTTTTAATGAGAAGATCCCTCAAAGTGGCCCAGCATCTATCGACAGCTTTATAGCCCAGCATGCACGAGGCCAGCGAACTGGTATGTCACTCCCAAGACAGCAGCAACAAAAAGAAAAAAGTCTGATATTATCGTTCATTTAGGAAGCTACTAGTATTAACAGCACCACTGACAACAGAAGTTCATAATGTTGAGTCATAAACTGGTGGTGCACAACTGTGTATCTTAACCCACTGACCACGCAAAGCGGTTCTTCCTGTCACCTACTCTCAGCCTCAGACGGGACGGCGGGGGCCATTCAGGGAATGTGTGATGCAAGTTGTCATCTTCTGAGAATTAGGATGCATAACTTCCCAGCATAAGGAACCAGGATGCATGAGGCATTAGGGCTGAACGATTAATTGCATTTGCGATAATATCGCGATATGAAATAACGCGATTTTTCAATCGCAGAGGCTGCGATTACACGGTCACTTGACACGTGAGAGTAAAGAGGGGTGTTCGACTTGAAGATCAGATCGGTGTATGACATCAAAGTAAGGCGAGAGAAAGCATAAGGAGACGTCCGCGCTCTCTTATAGCTCTCGCAGTACTTTGATGACACACACCCATCGGTCTAAGTAGCGCTGCTTCAAGAACATTTATGTTTAATCTATATAATATTGTGTTGGTCATACTATACAATGATTTATAGCTTGTCTTTGTTGAATAATACAGAACATAAAGAGCTTTAAAAAAAAATTGCATATTAAATCACAATCGCAATATTGGTAAAAAAAAATCGCAATTTGATTATTTTCCAAAATCGTTCAGCCCTATGAGGCATTCGCTGTTCATTATTAATCTCAGAGGAGTTTGACGCAACTCCATTTTAATTTTCAACCACTGCCAACCATTAGATCCTCAAAAGGCACCCACAAATCTGAACAATCATCCATGTTACAGGAAAATAAATTAAATAATACAATAAGTTGAAATAAAACCAATTCTGTTAATAAATAATAATAATAATAATAATAAATTACATACATACATACATGCATACATACAGGCCCAAAAAACAATAGACTAGCATACACAATACTTTTAAAATCACTCCTTGGGGACAAAAACTGCCTTTCATATTTAAAATTGTATGCTTTGTTTTTCATACGTGTAATCTGATGTATTTCATACATTTAATCCTCTCAGCCCCCTAAATATGAGGCATTTCTCTAAGTCTTCAGGTCCATATTCTCAATTACAATAAACTCTCATCGCACACATACTAAATTATTACGGCAACATCAGAACACCAGCTGCAGGACTGAAAATATGAAAACAAGCTGCTAGACAAGTTCCTGCGTCCAACAGAAACAAAGAGGCAAAAGTGAAACTACAACATCTGGAGTCAGTAAGACTTTTTTTTTTATTAATACTTTTATTCAGCAAGGACACGTTATATTGATCTGATATTCACATCAACATCAACCACTTGAGTTGCACAGATGAAAGCGTTTGAGAGTATTTCAGTTTTAAGTTCTGAATGAACTGTTCCTCTTAATGCTCGGTCTTCAAGAGACTCTTCATGACTAGTGAACAAATTCAGAAATTCATCTACAGTGACAACAGATGTTACACAAGATTTCTATTTCAAATAAATTCTGTTCTTTTGAACTTTCTATTCAGCAACCTGAGAAAAAAAATATAAAGAAATTTTTCTTGAGCAGCAAATTAGCATATTAGAATGATTTCTGAAGGATTGTGTGACACTGAAGACTGAACACTTTTAGAAAAAAAAGGTACAAAAGCGGTCACTGGGGCAGTACCTTTTCAAAAGGTGCACTTTTGTACCTTTTATGTACTAATATGTACGTTTAAGGTACCAATATGGACTGTTTAGGTACAAAGGTGTGCCTTTTGAAAAGGTACCGCCCCAGTGACAGATTTTGTACCTTTTTTTCTGAGAGTGTAACGGCTGCTGAAAATACAGCTTTGACATCAGAGAAATAAATTATATTTAAAAATATATATATTAAAATAGAAAAATATATTAGAGATTGTAGAGAGAGAAATATATAACTATTTTGGCCCATCCCTAAGAGTTTTTGTGTAAGTGTCTGCCTGACACGCTGCATCACTTCCTGCATCCAAAAGAGTTTTGCGGTTAGCATGCACGCTCCATTAGACATGACACTGGAGCCCTGTGCACAAAGATTAGACTGTGATAGATGAAGCAGCGAACCATCCTCCTCACGCAATAGACACTGTAACACCACTCACTGTAACTGCTGCTCTCATTAACACCTTCACACACATCATCTAACGATGTCTTCATGAAGGACACGCCTGACTTGACATAAAAGCTCCAGCTTTATGAGTTTAAAATAGACTGCATTATCCCATGTGTGTCAAAGCGGAGCATCTCCAATCAATATGACACAATTAAATATTTAACAATGATGATAGGTCACAGCAAAACTAAAGCCAAATGAAAATGCTCTGCCCTATTTTACGTCAAGTTTCTGTTGGTAACACTTCACAACAAGGGTCCATTTGATAACTACATTAGTTAACATGACAACAAAGAATACTTCTAAAGCATTTAGGCAAGGCAAGGCAAGGCAAGTTTATTTGTATAGCACATTTGGACGTCCACTTAGACTTATGCTCTCCTATACTCACATAATAACCACTCCTTTCTAAGTATGACCTGAACCATTTGATTGCCATCCCAGAAAGCCCGACCCAGTTTTCCAGTCTGTCTAGTAGTATGTTATGATCGACAGTGTCAAATGCAGCACTGAGATCTAGTAGTACCAGCACTGATATTTTGCCAGATTCAGAATTTAAGCGAATATCATTTATTATCTTAATGAGCGCTGTCTCTGTGCTGTGATGCGGTCGAAAACCAGATTGAAAATTGTCCAGGTATCCATTTGAGTTTAAGTATTTGTTCAGCTGATTAAAGACTACCTTTTCAATAATTTAAAAGGTAATTTAGAAACCTTAGTTTGTTTATTTAAACATTTACTAATACATTATTACAATCAAAAGTCTAGTGACATTATTTTGCTGTTATTGTTACTAATGACAATAAGTGGATAGTAAAACTAAGCCTAACCCTAAACTGAAAGTCAGTACATGTTAGACTAATTATTATTCTCAGTACTTATAATATAATTACACTGTAAAAGGGCCATCTGAAAAAATAAAGTGCAACTAATATTATAGAACAATTTTGGTGTTTGCAAACAGTGATGACGCTTTTGTGGGCAGAGCCTAGGGCTGTGCAAAAAATCTAATTTTGAACGCGATTTTCTGTAGCTTGTCAGTGATCTACGGCTCTGTCTAGTAAATGCCGCTCCATCTGAAAGCACGTGCTGGAGATTTACTACTAATCACCAGAAGCGGCTTTACTGACGAGATTCGCATGAAAATCGCATTCAATTTTTTGCCCAGCCCTAGCGGAGCCAATCTGGTGGCAGAAAATGACAGTTTTAATGTAGCAGTCAATGGAAGCCACGGAATACAAGAATAAAAAAGGTTATTGAGAGCGTATATTTCAAAATTCTAACATTTGTCCTCGCAATTCCGAAATCTCACAATTCTGATAAGAAAAATCAACTTGTCATTTGACATTCAAAATGTTATAGGTTTAAATAGTATTTCATGCTGTAA